GCAAAATCCCACAATCACATTTGAATTTGTTTGGTGACAACTAAAAACCAATTTGTGCCAGAGCCTATAAATACTTCAAAATCTTCAAGGAGTGGTAAAAATTAAAAATGAATCATAGATTCTTGGTTAAGCAGTGAACTTTGATTTATATAGGTCAGAACATCAAGAGGCGGAGTACTTTAAAAACCACACACAACAATTGAACCCAAAATAGATAAAAAATGTGCCTCAAAACTGCCAAAGTCACTACCACCCTCTGAGAGGCAAGACTATGAAATCTCAGAAAATGCAGATTTTTAAAATAAATGAGATCTCTTAAAAGTTCATTATGACTTTAAGGAAGACAAAAAGGAATTTATAAAGTTCAGAGGACTAAGAGCTCAACAGTGATTAATTAGCTGACAACCTTCAATCGCTTACTCTACTGTCTGACTGTGTGCGTCCACACCCATAAACCCCAAGCAGTGAGCCTCAGCCTTCTCCCTACAAGGATTTCTGTATCATACCCATGACCCAATTCCACATTTTTGGTGATTTCATAGCAAAGTAACTTCATTTATAAAGTATTGATAAATTAATTTCCCATTTGTCTTTATAAATCAAAAACATCTAATAACCCATGAAAGTTTCTGAGCAGAGTAAGATAACCAGGTGAGTCTCCTGAATTAACTAGAAAGAGGGACCCTGACGAACCTCCGTGCCCTTTCCCTGCTGGGACAGCAGCCCTACCTCGCTCTGAGGCCAACTGGGTGCCTGGGCCCCCCAAAGCAAAGGGAGGATTCAAGTTTTTAACTAAATGGCAGTGCAAAGGCAGAGATTCCTGAAGTTATTCCCTTGTCATTCATTGTCTCCTGAAAAAATAGTCTAATACAATAAGACAATACACATAATTCTATATGACAATTCTTTATGTTACTATATTAGCATAATTTATACAGATTGTATCACTGTTACTCACATGCTGTGAGAAAATGTGGTCGTGGCCAGCAAACCTCACTCTACTCTGGTACACATCAGGGGCTGGCAAACCACGGCAGGCACACATGTCTAGCCCGCCACGTGTTTTCATACAGCCCATGAGCTTGGAATGGCTAAAAATTAAATCACAAGAACAGTACACTTCATGGCATATAAAAACTGTATGGAATTAAAATGACAGTGTTCCTGAAGGAAGCTCTATTGTAACACACAGCTGCATTCACTGGTTACACATTAACGATGGCTGCTTTCTTGCTGTGAAGGTGAGTTAAGTAGTAGCGGCAGAAACTGTTTGGCCCCAGAGCCTAAAATATTTACTACCTGGCCCTTTACAGAAAACATATGGTTGAAATTATGTTCCAAAGCCATCATCCTATGGCAAAGGAATATTTTCAAAGTGTGGACCTAATAACCGCTGTGTGAGAATTACACGAGCTGCTGGTTAAGATGTACATTCCTAGGCCCCACCTCAGACCTAATAATCAGGATTTCCGGGGATAAAGGCCCAAGAATTTATATTTCTAGCAAGCATCTCTGCAAAAGGAATTTAAAATAATATTAAGGGGCACCTAGACAGCTAAGATAGTTAAGTGTCCGACTCCTGATTTCAGCTCAGGTCTTGATCTCAGGGTCCTGAGTTCAAGTCCCATGCTGGGCATGGGGCCTACTTTAAAAAATAAGATTAAGCTACTGTGGAAAAGATAAATATTATTTACTGTAATTTGTAGGAGAATAAGTGAAATAAGAAAGTCCACAAATGTACATTTTTAAAAATTATTTTTAAACAAAATAATACAGTAGTTTCTTACACTTAAGACATAATCCAGTACTGGGGCACCTGCATGGCTCAGTCAGTTAGGCATCCGACTCTTGATCTCAGCTTAGGTCTTGATCTCAGGATTGTGAGTTCAAGCCCCATACTGGGCCCCATTTAAAAAAAAAAAAAAAAAAAAAGCAAACAAACAAACAAAAAGACATAATCCAGGAATGCCTGGGTGGCTCAGTGAGTTAAGCCTCTGCCTTTGGGTCAGGTCATGGTCTCAGGGTCCTGGGATTGAGCCCCGCATCGGGCTCTCTGCTTGGCGAGGAGCCTGCTTCCCCCTCTCTGCCTGCCCCTTTGCCTACTTGTGATCTCTCTCTCTGTCAAATAAATAAAATCTTAAAAAAAAAAAAAAAAGACATAATCCAATATGAAACCAAGTTTCACTTAATTTACATTTTGGATCATCTTTATCTGAAAGTTTAAACCATGTAGTTGAAACTCTGTAAAACATTAAATACTTCTGTTTTTAACAAGAATCATGTGAAATGATGTACGACCTCTAACCCTGGAAGAGTTCCGTCCCCTAAATACAACATATTTATAGGACAGTGCAAATTAAAGGCTATTGAAGATTTGTGTCCTTCTGACATTCATCAAAAATGCACAATAAACAGATATTTAAATAAATCAAGTGGGCTGGAGAGAAACCTATCAAATTCATGGGGCATGGTTGTCTCCGTAGGGAAGGAAGGGGAGGGGCCCAAGGAAGATTCAACTTTATAATCCTCACCCTGCTTTTTTTAAATAAAAGAGAGAAAGTATGACCAGTTTGGGGTGGTAATGATAAAAATTTGTTCTTTGTAATTTTCTTTTTTTTAAAGATTTTATTTATTTATTTGACAGAGAGATAGAGCACAGGCAGAGGGAGAGGGAGAAGCAGGCTCTCTATCAAGCAGAGAGCCCGATGCAGGGCTCGACCCCAGGACCCTGGGATCATGACCCGAGCTGAAGACAGAGGCTTAACCCACTGAGCCACCCAGGCGCCCCTGTTCTTTATAATTTCCTATATGACTGCAATTTATTTATTTATTCATTTATTATTATTTTTGAGAGAGAGAAAGAGAGAGGGAGGGAGAAAGAGCACAAGCAGGGGAAGAGGGGGAGGGAGAGAGAATCTCAAGCAGGCTCCATGCCTAGCATGGAGCTCAGCATGGGGCTCAATATCACAACCCTGTGATCATGACCTGAGCCGAAATCAAGAGTTGGACACTTAACCGACTAAATCACCCAGGCAGCGCCCCAGTATATGATTGAAATTTCTAAAAATAAAAATTATTTGGAATAGAAGAAAATTAACTACAACAAATGGCTGTCAACACAAACGCCCCCTCCAGGCTCTGGCCTGCACCTGCTCCTCACATGGGAGCCAGACTCACAGCTGATTTGGTAAGAGAATTTGGCAAGGACACCAGAGCAGCACAAGAGCTAAATGAGTGAAATTCTTAATTATAAATTTTGATTTCAAATTTGTGTGTAACTTGCAATGCTGACAGTCCTCTCCTGGATTTTATTTTTACCAGTAGTACTTCCTCAAAACTTCAAGCAAGCTCACCTCATGGGTGTCTCTCTTCAGTGGAGGAAGGCTGGTGCTTCACGTGCTCTTATCTGCCACAGAAATGTTTACTAGTTCAACAGAAGCACCATGCTCAGTCTGGAGTGTCCTCTGTGTTACCCACACACTCAAAGAACTAAAGAGTCAAGAAGACCCGCTGCCCTAGGCTTTTGATACTGAAACTATTCTGGGACAAAGACAGAAGTTAAGACCAGCAGTTGCATGTGAATTTCAAAAGGGCCCCTTTGTCCACAGAGACTTCGAGAAGACAGGTGGAAAAGCTGGCCAAACTGTCAGTGCCATAGTAGAGGTGGCTAAAACTGTGTCAGTGCTAAGAGCGAGGATGGCAAGTGGCAAGGTGGGAGGGCCGTGGGCGTATGTGACATTGTGTGGCCGGTATGGCCACGACCTCAGCACCCACACTTTGCCGCCTTCCTGGTAGCAGGTGGAATACGGAGCTCTTCCACCAACTACTACTGCCCACCACAAGGGATACCAGAGAACGCAAATATGACTTCTCCCTGCAATCACTCAGACTAAGAGGCTCTGATGCTCCTTTTGATCCTTTCTTTAAACTTTTAATTTATATATAAGGTTTTAAAGTTATGACTATTTTAGAGAATCTGAAGAAAACTTTAATATATAAGTGAGAAAGTACTCATGATTTATAGAAAGCCGGAAAACAGAGCATATAACCATATTCTAGGATGCCTTACAGAAAAAATTAAAAAAGAACTACAAATCTCACATTCTTTGGATTATTCTTCCTTTACCCCTCCAACTAAGAAAAGGGATAGCCCTGAGGGTATTTTCTAAACCTACAGAACTGCAGAACATTCTACCACAAGGACAGAAGTAAACTGTTAGCAAATAATACCAGGCACTGTAGGTACTCAGCCAATACCTGTCCTGACATAGCTTCGCCACCTCTGCCTCTCCTATCTCCCTTCCCTCTCTCCCCTCCTCCCACCTGTCTCTCCCTGCACACACTCCATACACACCTAGCTTTAAATCCAGCTACAACACCACACACATGCAATTAAAGTTAACCTGGCAACTGCCTCCTCAAAAGCAGAAATTCTATTTCAAACCCAGTTTTAACTCCCTCTACTACGGTACACTAAGGAAAATTGGCGGAAAAGTATGTTTTAAAGATTGTAAAAGAGTACTTTATTCCCATAGCGAAGAAGCTGTGGTTCCTTTGGAAAAGCCAGGGAAAGAGGAGCCTTCTTGGTCTGTGCTCAGCGCCTCAAGGACCCGCACATGCACACAGGTGTTCTCGGAGAATCCTCCAAGGGTCCTCTAACAAGGACTGGCCTGGGTTCCTGCACACACCACACACTCAAACTTGCACTGCCAGCCTACACATTCAGGGCTGGGCACACGGCAGGCATTCACCAGCACAACACAAATCACCACATCAAGGCATCGAGCGGCCCCAGAAGTAGGATTCACCCAAAACCTTTAAGAGGCTTTAGGTAGGGGCGTCTGGCTGGAAGACTGTACAGCTCTTGATGCTGGCGTGAGTTCACGCCTGACGCTGGCGGTAAAGATTACTAAAAAAGAAAAAAAAAAAATCTTTAAAAAAAAAAAATCCTCTCCCCCCACAAAAAAAATCCTTTAAAAAAAATAAGACTTCGGGCACTCCAGGTAAAGATGGCAGAGCGCAGTTACAGCTTTTCGCTGACTACATTCAGCCCATCTGGTAAACTTGTCCAGATTGAATATGCCTTGGCTGCTGTAGCTGGAGGAGCCCCTTCAGTAGGAATTAAAGCTGCAAATGGTGTGGTGTTAGCAACCGAGAAGAAACAGAAATCCATTCTGTATGATGAGCAAAGTGTACACAAAGTGGAACCAATTACCAAGCATATAGGCCTGGTGTATAGCGGCATGGGCCCAGATTACAGAGTACTGGTGCACCGAGCCCGGAAACTAGCTCAGCAATACTATCTCGTTTACCAAGAACCCATCCCCACAGCTCAGCTGGTGCAGAGAGTCGCTTCAGTGATGCAAGAATACACTCAGTCAGGTGGCGTTCGTCCATTTGGAGTGTCCCTACTAATATGTGGTTGGAATGAGGGGCGACCATATTTATTTCAGTCAGATCCGTCTGGAGCGTACTTTGCCTGGAAAGCCACAGCAATGGGAAAGAACTATGTGAACGGGAAGACTTTCCTCGAGAAAAGATACAATGAAGACCTGGAACTTGAAGATGCCATTCATAGCCATATTAACCCTAAAGGAAAGCTTTGAAGGACAGATGACAGAAGACAACATAGAGGTTGGAATCTGCAATGAAGCCGGATTCAGGAGGCTCACTCCAACTGAAGTTAAGGATTACTTGGCAGCCATAGCATAATAACTGAGTGACTGAAAAATCTGGAATCTCAGATAATCCCTCTACTCAAACATGTTTAAAGTATGTTTTGTTTTGCAGACTTTTTGCATATTTATTTCTACATGGTTTAATGGACTGATGTTTTTAAAATGACACTTATAAATCATAATAAACTGTTAAATCCAAAAAAAAAAAAAATAAGACTTCTAGGTAACTAGACACTTTTATTCTTCACTTTGCATATTTAAATTTTCCTATAACTACACATCTGTTTGAAAAAAAAAAAAAGGGAAGAATTTTTCTTGGGTATTTGTCAGCCCAATAGAGTGGAAAACCATCTCTGCCCTTTGGGTAGTATGTTGGTCCAACCCATACAATTAAACCTGTAAGTATATATAAATACACTGGTACACAAAGGCCCAGGGATCAGACCACTTCATTCATTCACACTGTGGTTATCCAAACATACTGTGATATCCAAACATACTGTGGTTCAACAACAAATACAGTGGATTATAAATTCAAGGCTGACACCACGGGAGGAATGTAAATTGGTACCAACCACTCTGGAAATGAGGCATCAGCTAGTAAAGCTGTAGATAAACATACCTGTAAGACCCTGTTCTTAACTGCCCCAGACCAGAAACGACCCAGCTATCCATCAGCAGATGATGGGTAATTTGTGCTACGTTCATACAAGAATGAACTAATTACAGTCACAGATAACAACATGAATGAATCTTTAAAAAATACCGTGCTGCAAGAATTTTAAAAAACTGTGTGTATGTGTATACATTCCTATATACACACATGTATACACACACACTTATACGTTGTTGACCCCCCCAAAAAAAGTATTTAAAAGGATACCTACTTTGATTCCATGTGCATAAAGGTGAAAACAGACAAAATGAAACTTGTTTAGATATTAATATTTAGGGGGAAAAACCAGGGACAAGAAAAGAAGCTACTTCCACAAAAATGAAGCTAGGTTACTTCTGGGGTGAGAGGAGAGGCTGTCCTTGGGAAAGTATGGAAGGAAGGTGCTTCTTGACCTTCTAGATGATTACAGCTGTGCATTCTTAAATCATTAATTTATCCATTTGTTTTATACGCTTTCCTGTGTGTTACAATTCACAATAAAGAAGTTAAGTAAGTAAAATGTTGACATCCAGGAATTCAGAACCATTACAGTTCTGGCCAATGTGGGGAAAGAACACTTCCTCTCTAAATGTCACTATTAGCTTATCAGTTTCTTCAGTTTTCAGGGACCTTATCTGCCTTCCCCCCCAATATTCAACACTGGGCCTTCAGCATGGCAAAAGTCCTCTAATACATAAACTCCTGATGTGAATTCTGTTTGAACTCACGTGTCTCCTAAAAGTACTGATTTGAACTGCGCCCACATTAACACTTCCCTGTTTCTCAGAGCAGCTTTCATAAATAAAGCTACTACCTTAAATGCTCACCCTGTAAGTTTATACCCAGGTGCTGTTGCTTTAGCAACTCTCCCTGCCTTCTGCTCCCACTTATGCTTCCTTATAAGATGAAGATACTAGTAGTCCTAGATATTTTTTTTAATGGAAAAGTTTTCTATTTTAACCGAGAGTAACGCCTAGGATCTTAATGATTGAAGTGCTCAGAGGCTGTTTAAGAAGGGGTCATTTGCCCATCATCTTGAGAAATACTACTATGCGACAAAGGTAATGAACCTTTACAATCAGCTGTACTTAAAACGCATGCTACCTGTTCTAGACAGAAGCCAAATCTCTACGAACAGGACTGGTTAATTTTATAATTCATTTCAATTAAAAAATCACTTTGTGCAGACATTACAAAAATGCTTAGAAAATGGGGCGCCTGGGTGGCTCAGTGGGTTGGGGCCTCTGCCTTCGGCTCGGGTCATGATCCCAGTGTCCTGGGATCGGGGCCCCGCATCGGGCTCTCTGCTCCGTGGGGAGCCTGCTTCCTCCTCTCTCTCTCTGCCTGCCTCTCTCTGCCTACTTGTGATCTCTGTCAAATGAATAAATAAAAAAATCTTAAAAAAAAAATGCTTAGAAAAGTCTAAGAGGATACACACGAATAGATAAAGATACACACAGCAGTTACTTTTGGAAAAGTAAAAAGAAGGCTTTAACATTATCTGTAAAGTTCTAAGTTTTACAGAGAATTATTGAGCATTTTCAATCCACCCAAATCCCAAATACAAAGGAATTCCCCAAACACACATTCCTCTCTAAAGACCATCATTTTAAAACGTTAAGGTTTAAAAAAAAAAAAAGTTAAGGTTTTCATGCCAAAGTTTTAAGGGACTTCCTGGATTTATACACCTGACCAGTATATTTTATATGAATACACATTTATGCTGTTCTATTAGGGAATATTACAGAAATCATACCTGCATTCAACCAATATGAAAGATTTCAGATGAGAACTCAGCATAGACACATTTGACACTGACGTTAAAACGACTTGGAATGAAGGAAACCGTCTCCTGTTTTATGGGGGAAAGCCAAAAATATCAAGCAACTACCTTCTCCTCCCCCAAGCGTCAGAAGATGAGTCAGAGCTGGAGGCAGGGATAGGGCCCATGTGTCAAGCCGCCTGTGCAGGGCGCCTTCCTACCTCCACCCAACAACCCTCTTCCCCCACCCAGGGTCAGGGTTCCTGCCTCAGCCTGTCCCTGACGTGAATTCTCAGGTGTCCCTAGGAAAGAAGAACAGTTATTCATTCCGGGGGCACCTCATTCTCTGCATTTCTAAAGGGAGCCCAAGAATGGGTGCCTTTATGGGTCCACAACAACTAACAATCACCAAATGCAGCTCAAGGGAGTGGAGCTTCCAGACACACACAACTTTGCAAAGAAGACAGCACCTTTGTTCCCCTCATTTTAAACAACAGGAAACATGGAGGGAGCAGCTGTGACTTGTCCAGAATCACTTAACTTTGTGACAGAGCTGACAGTCTCAAGCACAGGGCTGCTGACACCTGGCCCCAGCCTCTTTGACTTTTAACTGATCTGTACCACCTCAGGGAAGATGTTCCAACAATCCATTTTACTTCTGTAAATGTAAGGAATCAGGACCTGGTTCTTTGCCTCTGTTTTTACATCTGTAAAACGGGACGGCAATGCTCTCTGCCTACCCCTCCTATAAAACTACAAAGAACAGCTAGTTAACACTTGCCAAATGCCTTGAGGTCCTGCTGGATGAAAAGTACAAGGTAGTTTGTTTGTTTCTTTTTTAATCCCTAGACAGTAAAACTGCAAATGTAAGTCACTCCTCCTTCCTTTGCCTCTGGGACGCCCAGTTACCATAACACTGGCTGGTACCAATGGCAACATCCACCTAAATAAAATATAGTTATACAATCCACTAAGGCAGCTCCAGCAGGCGACTGCTCTCACACACAAACAACTCAACTTGCTTTGAAGCGAGGGTACTTAGGAGAAATAGACACGTTAGCACTGTGCACCCCAATCTACCACCGCAGAGAAACACTCAAGTTGAATACTTGGCATTGCTGAAAGTCAAGTTGCTTCTATCAATGCACCAGAAATCTATGAAAGATGTAAAGGGCCGCCGACAGCTCGAGAGGCTCGGAGAGAGTGGATGAGGACCGCCGGCGAGGAGGTGGAGAGACCGTGGCGCGGCCGGAGTGCAGAGGGTCAGGAAGAAGGAGGAGGGGAGGGGAGCCCACAGGACGCCGGCCAAGGAGCCCGAGGGCCGGTACGCGGGGCCGAGACGTCGGTTGCATCAGGGCGCAGTCGGGGGGCGCGCACCCACAGCCGGCGAGGCGGGGGGTCGGGCGGCGAGGAGGGGCGCTGCGGAGTGCCCCGGGCCTCACCCCTCCCGGCCGCCCAGAGGATACGAGAACCTCCCGAGAGCAGGTGTGGGGGCCGGAATAAAGTTTCCAGAGACGAGGGTCGCGCGAGGCCCCGGCCACCTGGTCCCGCCAGTGTCCCCCCCAGAGTCGCGTCAGAGCCAAGTCCCGCCCGCTCCGCCCCCCGCCCAGGTCCTCGCCGCGGCCCGCGGCTCCCTACCGGCTCGGCCCCGCGGCGGCTGGCACTCCGTCCTCCTGCGCGGCTCCCGACTTCTGCGGGCTGCCCGCCGCGCGTGCCCCTCCTTCTCCCCCCGCCCGCGCCCGGGGCGGGCCGCGCGCACGCTCCCTGCGCCCCACCGCCCTCTCCCGAGCGGGGGGCGGGCCGCTCGGGGCGGGGGAGGGGCTTCCGCGCAAGAGGAGCTCTGCGCGGGGGGGGGGAGCCGGCGGGGGACGCGCGGAGCGGCGGGCGTAGCGCGTGCGCACTGCCCCGTTCACCGCCGAGCGAAGCCGCGGGGCGCACCCCCTACTCTTCTGGGCGCCCCTCGGGCCGGCGCCCCTGGAGTCTCCTCATGTGTTTGACAATATACGACCCCTCTCGTCGCCACTTCAGCGTTGGGGCTGAGGCGCAGGGGTGGCGTTACTGGGGTACTTTCTGGACGCGAGAGGGTTAAAGGCAAGGCGACAATACAAATATAAAAGGTGTGAAGACTGCAGTAAGTGACTAATCACCGCCTCTCACCCCACCCCCGCCTTATATCCAGCACGGGAGAGCCCAGGAGTTGGGACCAAAGAGTAAAGGGAAAATAAACCTCATGGCAACTGTTGGGTGAATTTGCTTTGGGCAGGGTACAGGCAGTTTCTAGTAACTCTGGGAGGCTAGTTCTTCCGAGACGCCAAAGTAGCTACAGATACGGCCATCTTCTGCCGGCCCCGAGACCGCCGACCCACCACCCTACCCCGCAGGTGCCCTCGGACTTTCAAAACAGCGGATCCACAAACCGTGCCTCCCAGGTAGTGCTGCAGCGTGTCCGAAGCCCAGGCTGAACCCATGAATTCGTGGAGGGCTTATTTGCTGTATCACTGTGAGGGGCTTTTCAAATTTAGGTTTGCCCATCTGTAACATGAGTAGATGCGAACGGACTTTTTTCAGCACGACCTGCCCTGGCAGGTGAGGGGAGGTATACAGGACTTCCTCTGCAGTGAGTCAGACACCTAGGAGTCCTGACCACGCCCAGCCCCTTTACTCACCAGCCCCCGCTCCCCGCTCCTCACCGTTGTAAATCGTTGACATCGAACTGCTGAACAATCTAAACAGTAGTCCTAAGTTTGGGGGGTGGGGGTGGGACGCGGTGGGAGCGGGTGGAAAGGCTTTACATCTCCCCAGTATCTTCAACCAAAAGCTTCGAGGCTTTTTCATGCTCTTCCTGATCTCTGACGGGATTCAGAGTCATCCCGTGGGTGCAGGGATGTCTAAAAGTTCTGTTTCCCAGACAAAAATATAACATGAAGGCATTTTAGTGATAATCGTATGGTAGCTAAAAAGGCCTGGACTGGAGAGATTTATTTTTGCTTTCATTAAAGAGGAGAGTTAAAGCTTTAAAATTCGGCAAAATTAATCTTTCGGCAAGGGAACAAAAGAGAATCCGATTCAAGAAAAAACACTAGTTCAAATCTTGCTGGGAAAGGCATTTTTCCAGCACTAAAGTGCTCCACCATCAATTTGTCTAGTGACTTATTTTGACATGTGAATACCGAAATAGCAAAATCTCTAATAGAAACGATCGTATGCAGCTTCGTTTCTCCCCCCACAGACCTTCCTTCAGTCAATTCAATGACTCAGCAACACAAATAGATACATTCCTCTTCGGATTCAAGCTTGTTTGTTACACAAAGCAGGTTTCCAGTATAGCTCTGGTTAATAACAAGGAGTTGGGCATTTTCACGCATTATAGGAAATAAGTCTACCCTAAGAATCATCCTTATCAGTGAAAAGGAGGGAGGAAGGCAGGCTAAAATAGAGTTTGTGTTGAGTGTGATGTATGTGCAAAGATCTAGAGATGGAAAGTAGAAAGAAGTGCTAAAGTCAGTAAGACCATTTAGTGATTACATATATGCCTGTGGGCAGGATGTGCTTTACACCTTTAAGTGCAGGCTGACCTATGCCTGTACAAAAATGCAATTTGAAAGTGTTACCTTCTAGACTGTCCAGTAGAATTGGGGTGATAGAAATGTTCTGTATCTGCACTGTCCCACACAGTAGCCTCTAGCCTCACGTGGCGTCTGAGCACTTGAAATGTGGCTCTAGTGCATCTGAGACACTGGATTTTTTATTTAATTAATTTTAATAAATTTAAATAGCCACATGAGGCTAGTGACTGCCTTACTGGACAGCACATTACTAGACTGTACACAGATATTTTTATAAAACTATGTTATATGTAGATACATCTTAGAGGCCATCTGCTACAAAAGTAGGACTTGTCTATGCCCAGCGAAGGGGTGGTTGATCCTGACTACGTCTGAATGAACAAGCAGTGCCTGATCTGATTAGATGCAGTAAGTAGAGGGTAGAAACTTCTACTCTGCTTGGCTTCTCAAGTCTGCTTTTCCAAAAATGTTCTCCCTAATTGCCTGGGCAATGCCTTAGATTAGGCTAATCGGACCTTTATGAGTCCCTTAGAAAGAACAGTTGCATCTTCCATTCGTATCATTGCCTCTGGTTAACAAATTGGCAACAGCTTTCATGTATCTGTCAGCACCGGGGAATAGCTGTGATCAAGGCTCCCCTGATCTACAGAAGTTTGCAGAAGTCTGATTTCCGGATGCCATCAGGTCCCAAGGCTCACAGATGTTTCGAACACCTGCTTGCTAATGCTCCTAATTCCAGAGTATATACTACTGATTACTATAAAAATGCAAATCCCCTAAAGAAGTAAATCTTTATTGTCCTTTGACATGTTGGAGAAGAGCAGTGGACACCAGGTATCTGGGGGGAAAAAAAAAAACTATAAATAAGGAGAAGATTAAGAAGATTAAGAACTAGGAGGATGGATGACCCAGAACACACATTTTCTTGGGGGCACCTGGGTGGCTCAGTCAGTTTTGAGTCTGCCTTCAGTTCAGGTCATGATCCCAGGGTCCTGGGATTGAGTTCTGCATCAGGCTTTCTGCTCTGCGGGGAGCCTGCTTCTCCCTCTGCCGCTCCCCCTGCTTGTGCTCTCTTGCTCTTCCTCTGTCAAATAAATAGAATCATTAAACACACACACACACACACATACAATTTTATCTACTACAGAATTTGCTGAAGGCTTGTGTTATTTTGTAAGATGTAAGATAACACCTTATATGGCTATCATAAGGATTAACTAATTGTATTACATGTAGAATATTCCAAGCTTTTATTTTTAGTTTTCATCATTCTCATAAAATATTATTTTTCCATTAATAAGGAAATGCCACATTACCAAAAAAAAAAAGAGAGAAAGCATCACCCATAATTTTACAACCTTACCAAAACAACAGTTAGCAACTTTTCTTTCTGGTCTTTTTTCTATACATGATTTTTTAGTTTTATTTATATAGTTACAATAGTGTATGTACAGTTTTGTAGCCTGACTTCAAGCTTCTTGAGGTAGGCATTATATAAGGGAATATTACAACATACCCATGATAACTAGGTCATTTAATATGTGTCTGAAATTTTCTGCCCTTAATTCAGCCCTGGAGCAGTGACAGCGATGCACAGTGATGAGAATTCCAAAGAAACGTCCTTGAAAAAGGCACATTTGCCTGTTTTAACATTTGCTCTTTGTCCTTGAGGTCTTACTGTCCCTCTGTGAGACTTTAGCATAGCATGAATTGTGTGGTAATGGAAAATCAAACGCTGTTCATACCTGCCTGGAGTTGCATGAAAATATCAAAGTTTTGATGGGAAGGAAAAAAGAAAGGAGGTGCCAGGTGTGTTATCCCACTTCTTTTTCATCATACTAAGTCAGGTAGGTATTATCAACCACACGTTAGACATGAGGGATTAAGAAACTTGCCCAAGGTTGCATTATTATTAAGTAGCAGAACAAGAATTAGCACTCAGGTCTTTCTAACACACTGGGGCAGGTAACAAGAAAGCATGTAAATGTCAATAAGGAAAAGAAAGGAGTTTTAGCAACTTTTTTTTTTTTTTAAGATTTTATTTATTTATTTATTTACTTATTTGACAGACGGAGATCACAAGCAGGCAGAGAGGCAGGCAGAGAGAGAAAGGAGGAAGCAGGCCCCCTGCTGAGCAGAGAGCCCGATGCGGGGCTCAATCCCAGGAACCTGGGATCATGACCTGAGCCGAAGGCAGAGGCTTAACCCACTGAGCCACCCAGGCACCCCGTTTTAGCAACTTTTTAAAAAGATGTATATATTTATTTGAAAGCATGCACACATGAGTTGGGGAGGGGCAAAAGGCGAAGAAGAGAGGGACAGGGAATCCAGCAGACTCCTTGATGTGTGTGGAGCCTGATGTGGGGCTCCATCCCAGAACCCTGAGATCATGACCCAGACTGAAATTAAGAGTCGGGGATGCTTAACTGACTGAGCCACCCAGGTGCCCCGAGGGGTTTAAAAATTTTTTTACAACCAGAATATATTCATATAGTTCTTTTTTTTTTTTTTTTTAAGGATTTTTTTTATTTATTTGAGAGAGAGAGAGAGAGCATGAGAAGGGGTAGGGTCAGAGGGAGAAGCAGACTCCTGCCGAGCAGGGAGCCCAATGTGGGACTCGATCCCAAGACTCTAGGATCATGACCTGAGCCGAAGGCAGTTACTTAACCAACTGAGCCACCCAGGTGCCCCATTCATATAGTTCTTTAAGAATTTTTTGTTTTTAAAGAAAACTTTAAGGAAGGGTAAATGAAGAAATAAAATATTTCCCAAGAGTGAGTTAATCACCTCTGGTAGTAAAAATACCAGAACTGCTAAGAGATCCACTTTTTTTTTTTTTTAGATATTTTATTTTTTTTATTATGTTATATTGGGCAGTATATAGTACATCATTTTTTGGTGTAGTGTTCAGTGATTCATCAGTTGTGTATAACACCCAGTGCTCATCACCACACGTGCCCTCCTGAATGCCCATCACCTGGTTACCCCATCCCCCTCCCTTCTGTAACCCTGAGTTTGGTTCGAGTCCAGAGTCTCTCATGGTTTGTCTCCCTCTCCAATTTCTTCCCATTTTTCCCTCCCTTCCCCTGTGTCCTCCACACTGTTCCTTATGTTCCATATATGAGTGAAACCATACGATAATTGTCTTTCTTTACTTATTTCACTTACATCACTCAGCATAATCCTCTCCAGTTCCATTCATGTCGATGCAAATGGTGGGTATTTATCCTTTCATGACTGAGTAATATTCCCTTGTATATATGAACCACATCTTCTCTATCCACTCATCTGTTGAAGGGCATGTCAGTTCCTTCAACAGCTTGGCTATCATGGACATTGCTGCTATGAACATTGGAGTGCATGTACATCTGGGGTAATGAATGCCATTCTGCATAATTACTACAACATCAAAGACAAAAAAAACCTGATCCCACTCAAGGGGAGTAAACATCCATGTCAACTCAAGAGCTTGAAGACTTCCCCTCTAGTTATAAATTGGTACTTAGGCTGAGCCTTTGACTTTGTAAATGAAAGAGTGGAATGTAAATGGGGCAGGGGAGAGCAGAGGTTCCCAGATTGGTTAAAAGGCTCTATCTAACCTACTATGTTGTTCACCAGCTCTCTGCTTTGTCAAATAGTAGCAAATCTCTGTTACAGGAAGTTGGACACCTCAATTCTTCACCAGACCTAAGATACACACACTATAGTTGCAAACATATCTTGACAGCAAAGTGTGTCCCTAGAGCCCTGGAGCAATGTGTGGTTACATCCTGGATGCAAATCAGGGGTATCCCCTTTCACTGGAAAGCCTTTAAGCTCCAACGCCTATATCCACCCCATCTTGCCACATCTGCTGGAAATCCATGGCTTGCTTTTATCCCTCTCCTAGTTTCCATGGAGACCCAACAGTTTACTTTTCCCCCCAACTCTAAGCCATGGTTATTTTTAACTGTAAAACTCTGAGCCAGGTCACAGCTGGGATCTGGAAGATGCAATGACGTCTATAGCCACCCTTCTCTCCCACAGACGCCTTCTTTTCTGCAGTTGCTGGGGGCGGAGGCACTCCTGGGAGATTTTGCTCTCAAAAGCAGTTTGCTTTGCATCATGAAGTTCAGCCTATGCTGACTTCGATCTGACAGGTGTCCTGAATCTTGAAACCATGCACGCCCAAAACAAGGCAAAGATTTTCGTGGGGTTGGGGAGGAGGGCTGCCAGGTAAGCTTGACGTTGCTGTCACAAATCTGTGGTTAAAGCTTAGGTAAATACCCTCTGGTAAAAATATATAAGAGTGCTCTCCTCTGGGGAAAAATAAGGGCTCTGGTTCCTGTCCCCAGTAGAGTGGCTTTTTCTGCTGTGGCGCCCCCCTGGTTAAAAAGAGGCTCCTGAACAGGATACTGTATGGAAAAACAGTTCTACCTCTCCAAAGCAGGCAGCAAATTCCCATGGGGACAGGGTTGCAACCCTGCTGCTCCCTCCCCCTCTATGGAGAATTCAGATCAGTCCACCCACTCCTCAGGCCCCTGGTACTTGGAAGCTAGTGTCTTCATGGTATTTCTGAACTCTTCAATCCTTTTCAGTATTTTTTTTTTGGCGGGGGGAGCTATTAAATGGCCCTGGAAATTACCCTTCTCATCTTAGACAACATTCTAAGATTGAAAATGGGCATAAAACCTAAGACACTTAGCCCCAATTCAGTATGGTTTTTTTTTTTTTTTTTTTTTAAGATTTTATTTATTTGACGGAGATCACAAGTAGGCAGAACAGCAGGGGGGGGGGGGGGGGGGAGTAGGCAGGCTCCCTGCTGAACAAAGAGCCCGATGCAGAGCTTGATCCCAGGATCCTGAGATCATGACCTGAACCTGAAGGCAGAGGCCCAATCCACTGAGCCACTCAGGTACCCCCCCCCCCCCAATTCAGTATGTTTCCTCACAGGACACACTGACTGGGAACATTAAAAAATTAAGCACCAGTGCACCTGGGTGGCTCAGTGGGTTAGCGTCTGCCTTCGGCTCAGGCCATGATTCTGGCTGGGGTCCTGGGATCAAGTCCCACATTAGGTTCCTGCTTAGCAGGGAGTCTGCTTCTCCCTCTCCTCTCTTTGTCAGATAAGTAAATAAAATCTTTAAAATTAAGCTTCCCAGTGCAGGTTCCATTAATTTTTTATCTCTTAAAATAATACACTTTTATGTTTTTAAGGAATTCCCTAAATGAGGGGTGATCCTAGGGGAAAATCCAAATCGGGAGTTATCTATTGTTTAATGGGAGAAAAGAGGTTAGGTCATTGCAAACAATTTCAGAAACAAGAGTATATACTTGGCAGATAGCTCTCCAAGGAGAAAAGAGAGACGCATTGGAAGTGTGATGACTTGGTACTTGGCTGTCAGTTCACTGAGGAAGGGTGATAAGATGACAGCATTTCAACATTTTTACTTTGATTAATAAAGTGCTGGTTTCTTTTTTTTTTTTTTTTAAGATTTTATTTATTTGTCACAGAGAGAGAGAATGAGAGAGAGAGCAAAGCAAGGGGAGTGGGAGAGGGAGAAGCAGACTCCCTGCTGAGCAGAGGGCCCAATGCAGGGGTAGATCCTAGGACCCGGGGATCATGACCTCAGCCGAAGGCAGATGCTTAACTCACTGAGCCCCCCAGGGACCCCTAAAGCCCTGGTTTCTTAAAACAACTATGAGGTCTCCTCCTTTCCATATTTCCTAAGATGCTACTTCTGTTGAACACAACTCTGGCCCAGGGCAGGATTATTAGCAAGCTTCCACTTGGAGGCTTTCTACCCTGGAAGACCTCAGGGGAAACCAGAACAAGCCAGAAAAAGTGTTGCTTGGTTAAGAATGAGAGATTAATTCAACCAAATAATTAGTGTGGTGCCACAGAAATCCACCTCCTGTGCTCCAAAGTAGAAAACAAGTGCCTCAGCCTTAATTATACAGTCCTGAAAGACACTGAACAAGTCTGGGCTGGCAAAGGTTAACTATAGGGCTTGCAAAAAAGACAAAGGGAAGTACATCTATTTAAAAAAAAGGGTTTTTTTGTAACTCTGTTTTGGGTTTAAACCTTTTGATGGTCACTTTCTGGATTTTTATCTCAACTTCCTCATTATTCCTGCTCCTAACAGGAAAGAGGGCCCAGTACACAATACATACCAAGCAAGTAACTCATCGTGACAAAGGACTTTTAATGTCAGATGTAAGACAGTCACCCTTCCTTTAAATACCTGTCTCTTGACTTGTAAGCCTGGTCAGTCAAATCAAAGAGCAGTTGATACTCTTATCATGGCACATCTCAACTGACAGAAGCCGAGGCAACTGGCAAAACTGAACCAAAAAAAAAAAAAAAAAAAAAAAAAAAAAAAAAATTCCCATTAGTTTTAGAAACTGGCCTTCCCAGCTTGTCTCAAATGATTCACCTGTCCCCACCTCCCAGCTCCCAACACCTTAAAAGCAGGAAACTAAGTTCTGGTGCATACTTCACGGATAGGCCACTTAGGTTCCAAAATACTCATTAAATACTCAAGTACTGTTCTCCCAAATTAAGTGCCTATGTCAGCATGCCCATTACTATCCTATCCAGGCTGCTTTGACCCTGTTGGGCAATCAGAGATCCTGCTCCATCTCACATCGCACTCAGAAGAGGTGGTTATTGGGTCTGATTGAAGAGGAAGTCTTTGTTTTTACACAAGTCTACAGGAATGGCTGTGTCCCTTTCTGGAGGTCAGGGAGAAGCGAACCACATCTGGCTAAGCACACTGGAAAGGAAAGCAAACTTCAAGATCAGTACTTCCAGAACCAAACTTTAATTTTTAGATAAATTCAGACAAATGAAAAAGCAGGTACATAGGCGTTGTGGGAAAGCTTTTTTTGTTAACAGTAATACAGTGTGTATCTGGAAGGTACTGACAAAGACATCGTTCAAAATTGACGGACAATATTCCAGGATGCTGTCTAGAACCAGTACCACTCTCTCGCCCAGAGTTAAGTGGAAGAGTGTTCCAGATGAGTTTTTCCAAGCTTCTCTTTACAACTTGGGTCTCTGATCCTTTACACTGGAGATTTTAGTTCTCTTATTACCTATCTGCATAGTTCCTAAAGCTGGAATGACTCACCAACTGGAATTTTGTTGTTGATCAATGTCATTGGTCTTCGCTCCTTTCTGGCTAACCACAAGCTGGTTTCATGACTCAAAACTAGGAAGCCTGTCCTCACCTCTCAGCAAGGACTGGTTAGTTAGCTGAGTTTACATTTAATTGGGGGGTGGTGGTGCAGAGGGGGTATTGTAAACAAAAGGATGAAAACTGGAACCCAAAAAGAGATAAACCATGGAGTTAGTTGGTCTCCACACAGTCTAGATCTTTGAGCATGGAAAGGGTCATGACATGGGAAGAAATTTGATCTCTATTTCCCACCCCTGGCAGAGAAGGACATACCTAAAATCCCAGCAGAAACCTTTAATTTTAAATTGCAATAAAATCCCTGACAGCAAAAAGTACTCAAGTCACTGAACTTGAGTAAATGCCCCCTCTTCAGAATATGGACTAAAAGAGACCTCGATTAATATAGGTGGTTAATAGTGAACTCTGTCCAGCAGCAAAGGGGAAGGATGGAATATACTTGTAAGGCCCTTGCTAGCTCTGAATTTTGAGTAACAAGATGGGCCTCCTTTGGTGGTAAGAACACGGAAAGAAATAATGTACTTATACCAGCCACGTCAAGTATCAGCAAGTGATTTTCTATTTTAAGCGCAAAAAGATGGCAACTCAGTGACTGAAGAGTATCCCTTACCCAAAATATGACCTGTTCTCTGAGAAAGCTACCAGGGAGTCTAGGTCATAAATTTTGTACAGTTGGGCTTGCTACAATAATAATTCTACTTCCTAAAATCTAGTCATTTGAAATTATAGCCTTATCTTTTTTTAAGATTTTATTTATTTAAATGTCAGAGAGAGAGTGAGCTTGAGAGGGAATACAAGCAGAGGGAGGGGCAGAGGGAGAGGGAGAAGCAGGCCTCCCACTGAGCACGGAGCCCGTTGTGGGGCTCGATGCCAGGACCCTGGGATCATGACCTGAGCCGAAGGCAGACGCTTAACGACTGAGCCAACCAGGCGCCCCTACAGCCTTATTTTTCTCTGTTTTCAACCATGCCATTTTCCTCATCAAATCTAGATCCCCACCCCCATCATCTTTTTCGGAGTTTGGCTGGTTCCAAGGTTTCTATCAGACTGTCCTCCCATCCTCCCACTCCTAACTACCCCAGCTGCCCTCTGTGTCCTCGCCAACTAAACCTTTTGGCATCGTTTTCCTCACTCCCACTGCTGCCTCCACATCATCCTCCACCCACTATGTCTGCAACAGTCTCCCACTTCCATCTGCCACTTTCTCTCTCTCTCCTCTCAATCCTATCATTGCCTAAAGAGCTCACCTCTCCCAGGGAGCCTTCCTTAATCAAGACTAAGGACTTTGGAGACTATCAGAGACACCACCTAACCTTGGTGTCTAATGCATCCCCGATTTTTAGAACAGCAATTACCATTCAGGAACAAGAGACAATTCCTTTATAACCAAATAGGGGTGATGATGATGGCAGAGCCCGTTTTCTGAGAGATATAACAATGCAAAGAGAAGACAGAATTTCCACAAGCCACCTCTTTTCAAGGTTGAAGTCTTTTATTCTAATTCCCTCAGATCCTAAGAGTTTCCTTTTCATCTGCAACTGCCAGATAAGCATGCTTATTTACAGGAGTCAAAAAGTTTGAGCAAATACTTCCAACAAAGCATATGATACTTGAATTAGATATGTTGGATGCTGAAAGAACTGAAGAATCATTCAGCTACTGGAGGTAATTTGTTGCAGATTCTGAAGTTATTTCTACAAACAACTTTGCTTCTAACAGAAATGGGATAATCATGACTCCACGTTTGGCTTCTTGTTTTGTGGAAAGGTTTGAGGATCAAGTTTCAGATGTGGTGGGGTTACTCACCCTCGTACCTAGTGAGTCCCATATATGAAACTGCTTTACTTTTGTTTTAAAAGTAGCTTTTATTGAAGGCTAGCCTGTCACCACTGAGAAATTAGGGTTCAGGTCTCAATCCAAGCAAAGCCGAGGTTAGCTGTGTCATCTCCATCTCAGGGGCCTGGAATCCTGGGAAACTCAGGGCAAGAACAGGGTGACGCCAGGACACACGTTAGCAGAGACAGTGCAGCGTGATGAGGCGGGCATTCAACACCCTAAGTGTGCTTTAGTTACCAGAATACTTGACACACCCACAAATTAAGTAGCAAAACATTTTAATCCATTAATTCTAAAAATAACAGAGACATTTTATATCCGGTGCCACCTCCTCAAAAGTCTACTGCTCATTAGACAGACTGCAAAGTACAAAGCCAGACGTTAAAAGGGAAAGATGTAGTTTGGACAAGACCATCACGGAGAGATTTTTTTCCTCCCATTTGCTCATAAACATTAAGTCGTCAGCTTAAAAAATCCTCAGAAGGGAAGAGAAAGCTTTCTCATGCTCTATAACCTTTCTCTTTATTTTAGATCTTTCTGTAATGTTTGAAAGCAAAACATAATCAGAAAACCAGCCTCCCAAGTACAAAGATCTGAGCTGGACTCCTGGGACCACAGCCTGGTTCAGTTCTATTTCCACCGACACTCTGATGGGAGGTACTATGGTTCTTGTTTTAGTTACAAGAGGTGTTGGGAATAAAGGCCCACTCACATTTAATAATAGCTTATCTAGCACATAACTCTGCAGCACAACACCAACAACAGGAGTGGTTTAAAGCAGGGTGGAGAAGAAAGGAGATATTAATACAACGTAAGGTTCCCTTTGTCCTTCCTCTCTTTTTACAATGAGAATTCAGCTCAGCAACAAAACGCTCCAGAGGGCCCGTGCTGTCCTTCGGCCCACCGCATTCCAAACTTGTGATTTCTGATCCCAGGCCCTCAGAGCCTCAGGCTTTAGTGATGTATCCTTCTCGGATGAGGAAATCATAGATTTTTCGGGTTTTGTTCACATCTATCTTGATGAGTGCTCTTGCCTGCGCCAGTCTCAAGCCTCCTTGCTTGTTACATTCGTTCAACAGAGCAGATTTGTATTCTAAATAGGCTCCTGGGACCAACCTCACCATCTGACAGAGCTGCAAGACACGGCAAATTTAATAAACATTAACATCTGTCATTCTCGTAATTTAATCCAGTAGGTATAGCCAAAATAAAATTTCAAAAAAGTGACATCAACCTCCAACTATTTATAGGAGCTGCTGGGTGGCTGGACCACATTCCATTTAGTCTCTTCCTTGGAGAGAATCCTCCCTCACGACAGACACTTAGGAAGAAAAAGCTAGAGTCTAATGCTGGGAGCGACTTCAGCACGTGTCAGCCGGCTCACCTACGTCTGTCAAGGAGCACAAGTATGTGTCCTGAGGAGCAGCCTGGGTCCACACAGCTCTCGGCCCAGCACATTCCAACACAGCCAGTCAGGGAAGAGCCATAGGGCACAGTAGGGGCGGGGGTACAGATACTTGGATTCCCAAGCGTGAATCACATTATTTTTAGTATCGGCATAAAGCACTGGTCCCTGATTTTGTGATTACATTTCCTACTTTGAAGGAGGAGACAGAGACCTTGCAAAGAGGCTACTTCAGCTGCTAAAAATCTAGAAAGCTGGCTCAGTCCCAGCTCCCCTGCCGTGGCACTCCAGGGCAATGAGCAGTGAGAGGTCACTGCTTGTGGGTAAGGATAAAACTGATTGAAACTCCAGGCCATTCAATACTTGACTCAGAAAGGCCTGTGACCTTCTTCAGCAATGCTGAACTAGTACATACACTCCTCTCCATTCCCAAACTAATCTTTACTGTTCCTGTGGCTGAAATCAAAGACTAACAAGCCTACTCCAAGACTCCCCTTACTATCTGACCTGAATTAATGATATGGAGTGGCAGATGGGGAGACTGATCTTGGGAACGGTAAAAGGAGTGCATGAGAAACAGAAGATGGTTCCCCTTTTGGAATGGACTTCATAGGTAGGCACATTTTTTTGAAAATGCTTGAGGGTGACTCCTTTGAGGCTGGCTTTAAACTTTTGAGACAGCCAAAAGTAATATGAAGATAAGTCTGATGATTTTAGTGGAAAAGAAAAGTAGGTCATAGCATTTTTAATCAAAATTAGTCTTTGACTCTATGTGATGATGAAGTCTCTCCTTTATGGCTACATACATGCTGTGGGGACAATCTTTTATGTGATGGTTATAGTGATGGAGTAAGTGTAGAGTAGAGCTCATCAAAGTGGCCATTCCAACAGGAAATAACCATTTTCATATATGAGTTGAGTTATTTGAGGTTTATAAACAATTTCATTCATATGAAGCCCTCAGTACAGTATCTGATACACGGTAATGCTCAGTAAATGACAGCTGCCGTTACTAGGATTTATGTATCATCAATCCCACTCTTTCTCCTCTAGCTCTCCGTCATTTTGTTACCTCCTTTTCTTTTTCATTCAGCTTCTCTGTGCCAGGAAGGCCAGTGAGGTTCAAGGGTGGTGCACTTCGTCGACCTACAGACAGAGAAAAAGGTATGCATTTCATAGGAGTGACAATTCCTCAGGTATGGAGTAACACAGTCCACTGCGGCCAGGCCAGTAAGATACAAGGTCATGATGTCCATCTCTAAGAAATCTCTACCCGTCACCTCAGGCCTCAATCTAGCTGGCAACATGGGCACCCCAATGATCACCTGAAAATACAAGTGGTAATTCCCGTGCCCTTTGCTCTGCTAAAATATACAATCACACATACCCTAGCAACCCAGGTGCTACTCTTTCCAACCCAGTAAGATGCTAAATTCTAAAGCCCAGATGTCACCCAGTGAAGAAAGGTCATATGCTGCCCGCCCCGATGGCTAATGAATGGAAATAACAACTCCACAGGAGAGACACTTCCCAGGCCTCAGCACTCTGCCAGGAGCTCGAGGCAAACACGGTAATTAACCAAGTACCATTTGCCTTCAGATCAAAGGCAGACTGTTAGGCCAGCAAAAGGCCCTTGTTATTTATTATGTGAGGGAATATCTGTTCCTTCCAAAGAAGCCCTGTTTACCTGAAAGACCCGCACAAAGGAACAATGAGCCATTATAGGGCAAACCAGAAGCTGGGGTGAACTCACATACTGAGAAAGAAACCCAAGTATGAGGTCACTACCTAGGATGGAAAGTTTCATGTGCAAAATTTTTTGCTTTTGTTTTGAATACATAATTGGAATTAATGTCCAGCTGGGAGATAAGTGGGCTAAGTTAGGCAAAAGAAAATGTGGGATAACATATCAACAAGTTTTATGGGGGCTGCCTTTTAGGAGGTGGGGAGAAATAGGGGCTGTTATAGGCCACTCTGAGAGAAAACAGGCTTCTCTGCAGTTTCGACAAGGGGATAAGAGCCTCTCCATAACCAACAGGCTTAGCCTTCCCCTAAATGCTCAAAAAGGGAGACTAAATTCATTTGGTACCTCACCAAAGTTACTGCAGGCTAGATTGAAATTAATCATCCAGGCTTTCTACTTTGCACTGCCTTAGGAGCAATGGAGAGCATGAAGAGGAACAAGGGGTCTCCCAACCTAAATACAGGGGGTGAGGAAGCCTAACACCAGCCTAGGAAGCAACAAAGAATAACTGAGTACAGGTGGTTCAAAAACGCAAATACCAAATTATTAATTATCACTGCACTGTATTTTTATTTGTATCTCTGTATTTAGATTCAGAGGGCAGGCTTAGAAGTAAGAAACTTGTAAAATAAAATTTGGATTTAGCTATCCTGACTACTCTCTAAAAGACTCTCTTTTCTCTTTTAAGTATTAAGAAAAAATCACCTGAAACAAAGGAATCAATTTTTTTTTTTTTAAAGTAGTCCTAAAGAAGCCTTTTCTACACTCTGTCTAGGTCCTGAATCCGAGAGATTTTAAATGGGATCACAAGGTCTATTGTTTCAAGCTTCCGAAGAATAGTAAAACTGCAAACGGGTCATCTTTTTCACTAGTCCAGTCTCTACAGGGGCATGGTCTGTATGTTCTGATACAGGAATGTGGCTGATGGAGCAGGGGTGAATAATAACAAGAGAACTGGCAAAAAAACACCACAATTTGGATCGGAGCTCTATAAATCATATCACCTCAAAGTGCACTGAGGATTAGCAGATAACATATGACTTAAGCTTGCTCTGAAAACTAACCTCAAAATAGAGGACATACCCAAAGAGGTAAAGATAACAAACAGAAATACCTCATAGCTCCAATTTATAAAGAAATCCTTGTGTTTCTGCTCAGGATACAAAAACTTTAACTAATCTGTGAGACAAATCTCAAAATCGTGGTAAAGTAATTGCTCGTGAACACTGGTAAATACAGAAATCACCCCTCTGGAGCTCCTTCTTCCCCCGTTCTGTACTCAAACCCAGAAGATAATCCCTATCTGGCCATGAAGATTCTGAAAGCTTGATGTTTATAAATTGGGATAACACTTACTTACCTCTCTGCCTGAGCACCCTGCTTCCACAAGGGGTAAGAGACTACTGCATGAATCCCTATAATGAAAACTTCACAATCAAGACTTGCTCCAGCCTGAAAAAGAATTACCTGAATTTGAAGCCATCGGAATAGAAGGGCTCAGGCCAGAATCACTAAAACAAAGAAGAGGAATTTAACTTAAGTCACACCAAAGAAGGCAATTTTCAAAAGCCTGTGTGGGCCTGGGTACCATTTATCAGGTTGGTTACTTTATTTATTTAAAAAAATTTTTTTTTAATATTTGAGGGCCATCTGGGTGGTTCAGTCAGTTAAGCAGCTGCCTTCGGCTCAGGTCATGATCCCAGGGTCCTGGGACTGAGTCCTGCTTGGGGCTATCTGCTTGGCCAGGAGCCTGCTTCTCCCTCTCCCTCTGCTTATGTGCTCTCTTTCCCTTTTTTTTTTTTTTTTTTAAAGATTTTATTTATTTATCTGACAGAGAGAGAGGTTACAAGTAGGCAGGGAGGCAGGCAGAGAAAAAGGGGGAAGCAGGCTCCCTGCTGAGCAGAGAGCCTGATGACCTGAGCTGAAGGCAGAGGCTTAACCCACTGAGCCACCCAGGCACCCTATGTTCTCTCTCTTTGAAAGATAAAGTCTTAAAAAAAAAAAAAAAAAACAAAAAAAAAAAAGTTTTTTTTTGTTTTTTTTTTTTTTAATTTGAGAGAGAGCACAAGAACAAGCATGAGCAGGGGAGAAGCAGATAGAGAGGGAGAGGCAGACTTCCCTGCTGAGCAAGGAGCCCAATGTGGGACTCGATCCCAGGGTCCTGGGAGCCAAAGGTAGCCACTTAACTGACTGAGCCACCTAGGCGCCTCAGGTTGGTTACTTTAAAGGGATGCAGAGATAGACGGTACTGTTTTACAGCATATCCCACTATACTAACCAGGAAGGGTGATCTGTTCTATGGGGTGTAAGAAATCGCCTGGATTTGTTAAGAAGAGCTCTTAGTCTGGAACATCATGAAGACTAATCATGGGGAAAGGACAGGGACATGATTTGCCAATGGAAATCATTCCAATAGACAATGGGGTGGAAAGAAGAGGCATGGTGGAGGAATTTACTATTTTTAAAAAGAAGATCAAAGTAGCAAAGTAGGATTCTAGGAGGCCAGCTATGTTTCTCAAAACTATCAGTATTGCAGTGTTTCTGAGACAGATGGCTAAGATTAGAATTCTGAGTTTTTCTAGTTACCCAATTATTACTACTTTGCCACGTGGGTAGGGTACCCATGGAAATATCTGAAACTACACATAAAAGCCAGAGCACCCGAGAAGCCGCTCCTGCTCTCTGGACTAAGCACTCACATGTCGGCTTGCCGACGGAGCCACTGCTGGCAAGCACTGCTGTCCTGGATGTACTGGAGCACCTCAGAGAGCATGGTGCGCTTAAGGCGCTCCTCCTCCCGCGTCTTCTTGAGGTGGTCATAGGTTCGGGCACCTGAAGGTGGAGAAAGAACGTGACTGCAATAACAACACAGCAGAACTAACTGAAAGGCTTTCTAACCAACCAGCAAACAGTTCGCCATTTTGGGGTTTCTTTTGCAATACTGCTTCCAGGGCGCCTGGGTGGCTCAGTCGGTTGAGCATCTGACTCTTGCTTCTGGCTCAGGTTATGATCTCAGGGCTGTGAGCAAGCCCTGTGTGGGGCTCTGCACTCCGTGGGGAGTCCGCTTGAGATTCTCTCCCTCTCCCGTAGCAGCCTCCCAAAATAAATAAAATTTTAAGAAAAAAAAAATACAAGATTGCTTCCACAGTTATTTTTTCTTTTTTAAAAGATTTATTTATGTATGTATGTGTTTATTTATTTTTAAAGATTTATTTGAGAGAGTGTGCTAGCAAGAGAGAGAAGGAACAGGGGGAGCAGCAGGCAGAGGGAGAAGCAGGCTCCCCGCTGAGCAGGAAACCTGACGTGGGGCTCGATCCCAGGGCTCTGAAGGCAGACACTTAACCAACTGAGCCGCCTAGAGGTCCCTACTTATTTGTTTTTTTTTAAAGATTTCTTTATT